AGTGTGAGCTTGTGATGCCTTAATTAGAGAGAAAAGCCAAGCCCGGAACATGACACCTGCTCCTGCCTCCCATCTGGGGCAGACGTCCTGGGAAACAGAGAGCAGGAGACGGGATGGATAGATGGACACACAGAATCTCACAAGATCAAACTTCACCCCAAAATCAAAACAAATACATAAGAAATTATATTTTGCATTAAAAAGGAAGCCTATTTTTTGACCATTAGGATAATTATAAGACATTTAAGCAATGTCCCCCTATTCTCCTTATCGTAATGCATCTGAACATTTTTCTTTTTTGTAATTTCCAATATTTTAAATTGTGATTTTCATTTGATTCTTATTACTGTAATATAGTTTTTTTTGTTTTACTGAGTATATATATATATATATATATATATATATATACTTTCAATTAATACAATTAATAATGCAGTAATGAGGATGCATTTTGCATTTTTTAAATGCATTTAATTTTTAATTTAATTAGAATAGGGGAAATGTGCTTAAATATTGCTGTAATGCAAAATAAAAAATAGCATATATATTGTGCTAACTAATTGTCCTAAAATAGCATATATATTTTAATTATTAGTTTTATTATTATTATTATTATTATTAGTGTTATTTTGGAGTGGAATATGACTCAAACATGTTTTGTGAAATGAATTTAATATATATCTTATATATATATATCTTGTGCGTTGCTTTGCGTTGTCTATGTTTTTGACTTTCTGCATCAGTAGCTCTAGAATTCTGTAAATTATCTGTTCTAGGTCGTATGGATTTTCTTCTCTTTATTGAGATGTTTTGGTTGTTCACTTTAGACAAATGTTTTCAAGAATGTATTGATTTGCAGATGTTTGTTTTTCACTTGGCTCTTATGAGAAACTGCTCCAACCAGTTTGTAATCTCTTTTTTGTTTTTCTAGCAACGAAAGGTGTTGGCAATCTCAAAATTAATAGATATCCGTATATATATATAAAAAAAACAATTAACAATCTAACCATCCCCCTTTGCGAAAAATGGTATAGTCTAACAGACAAGTGGGCAAGTCTAGGCCTGCTTTTTTAGTTAATGAATAGTCATGAGGCCAAAAAGTGGGAGGGCCAAAGATTTGTTGTTGGCTGCATCTAGAAGCTAACAGGGCAAGGAGAACTGGCGGAAAATCAGAAAAAAGCGACTCCGAGTGCCTTACCTTTCCTGGAGTTGTTGTGTCAAGTTAGTTTCACTCAGAGCGTCTAAAGTGAAGACGTGAAGAACTGAGAATTGCAGAACTCACCTGTGTTTTGGGTGAGGTCACATGACCACACCAGTGGGAGAATCTCCCGTCTTTTGCCTGCCCAGCGGGATCGCTACGATGCTGTGTATCGGTGACCTGCCTCATTACTACAGCACGGTAGGTGAGCAGTTTCTGAACGATTCGATCGATTTTTCTGGAGCAATATTCTTTCTTTGCTCGCTGTCATCCAGATTCATTGTGCCTGGCTTAAACACTTCAGAGAATTTTATTTTATTTTATTTTATTTTATTTCTTTCATAACCAGAAGTTTTTATTTTATTTTATTTTATTTTATTTTATTTTATTTTATTTTATTTTATTTTATTTTATTTTATTTTATTTTATTTTATTTTTTGTTTTGTTTTGTTTTAAATGATTTCATTTTGGTGCTTTTTTATTTTATTTTATTTTATTTTGTTTTATTTAATTTAATTTCATTTAGGTGTTTTAACTAAAATATGCACTTCCCATTTCCTCCCCTTTCATAACCAGAAGTTTTTATTTTATTTTATTTTATTTTATTTTATTTTATTTTATTTTATTTTATTTTATTTTATTTTATTTTATTTTATTTTATAGAATTTTATTTTATTTTATTTTATTTTATTTTATTTTATTTTATTTTATTTTATTTTATTTTATTTTTTATTTTATATATTTTTTTATTTTTAATTTTAATTTAAATTTTTTTTAAATTGTTTTTATTTATATTACATTTAGATATTGATCTCCTATGACACATCTGTTGAAAAAGCAGTATGCTTTTTTTATTGGGTCTTCATTACTAGGTTTGTCTGTAATTGATTTGCAAATAATAATTTGATTATAAATGATATAATACTAGCTACAACTTATAGTAGCTAGTATTATAGATTGCACAGATGCGTGTGTAAATGCTGAATGATACCTCGAAAGATAGCTTTCATATGATCTAAAAAAATAATGCATGTTCATGTACTATTATTAATGTGACTTGAACATGCTGCTTGATAGAAAACCTTCAGCTGTTTTGATGCTATAGCTGCAGTACATCTTTAAGATGGACACCTGTTGATGTTTCTTTCTGTGCACAACTTTGGTTTTGTTTCGATTCTTTTAGAGGGATGACAGAGATATTGTTAATTGAACTGAACAAATGCAACATTTGATTGTTTTGGTTCTAGTAATATTTTGTTATTTAGTTCAGTCATCTCACACCTGTTTACCAATTCCAAAAAAATCAGTTCATTAGGTTATTATTATCAGGATTAAATAGATGTGATAATGTCAGTCCTTTTAGTTTACAGCAGAGGGTGCTGTTTTTACATGTTCGTACAGTAAATATTTCTGCAGCTCACAGACGCATCTGCATACTGCTTACGATGTTATGTTAAAATCCGTCAGGTGTACTTTGAATATATATTATAACATATGTAATATACTGTATAAAGACTTGTGGTCACACAGTAGTTCATTGAACATATTTCAGCACTGTATGGGGTAAGTTGTCACAATAAAACCTGCCATTAAACCTTATTACAGGCTTTACAGCAACAATTATTCATAAATCGCAAAAAAACAACAACTAGTAAATAAAAAATGTAAAGGCAAAAAAAAAATATTGTATAATGTATGCATTTATAACTTTTAAAATGTATGTGACAATTTGCCCCAAGTTGCCCAACTTTTAAAATCTGCCTTCATAATATAGTTAAATCTGGTTGAATGAATGTCACAGATGTTAGTTTAAAGGACAATTCATTCATTAAATACAGATAGAGTAAGAGAGAGATCAATTATGTTGTAAATGATGTTGAATCATTTACTCACACAGACATACACAAGTGCACACAACACGCATGCACTTTCCCTCTCTCTCTCTCTCTCTCTCTCTCTCTCTCTCTCTCTCACCCACACAC